GCCTTTGGCTCGTGCCGACGGTGCTGATGGACTCTACTTATCTGAGACGCCGCAGTCGCCGCACCGCCCACCCCTCAGCAGGACCCATCTCGGTCCGATCGATCCGATTCGGTCTCGGTTCCAGCCGGTTCGATGCGACTCGATTCCGACCTTCCGATGATCCGATGCGGCCCGACGCTCTCGATGGTCCTCAGGGCGTCTGTTAGCCCAATGTGTGTATGTGTGTTTGCCCCGTTGAGCTCCGCTGACAGCGCGCAGTCTGTGTCTCGTCCCTCTTTGCACCGTCTGAGCCGCATCGAATGGCTGCGGTGGACAAGCACGCGTTCACGCCGACAGCCAAGACACGCTCTGAGGACCACTGGCGCCTGCTCGGTGCTGCCGTGCATCCCGGCACAGCGCCGAGCCGACATGATCTCGACGGTCGGTGCGGCTGCGGCGCGCGGCCCTCGCAGATCCCGTGCGACGGCCGATCCGATCTGGTTTCCCGAGTCCTGCCCATCGAGATCGGCGGCGACCGCGGGACACCGCCGAAGACCGCGGGACACCGCCGAAGACCGCTGAAGACCACGGCACACCGCCGAGAACCGCGGGAGGACCGCCGCAGACCGCCCGAGGCAGATGGGTGACACAGGGTCCATGGTCGAGCTCGGCGGCGAGCGAGGGGTGGAAGCGAGAAGGAGGAGGCCTGCTCAGAAGGCGGCGGGGCTTCTCAGAAGCCCTCCAGCCTTCCTGAGGAGTCTCCTGTGTCTTCGAGGAAGGCTGCGAACAAGTCTCAGACGGCCGCAGGACTTCTGAGCATTCTTAGAAGGCCCGCCCTCGGGCGAGGCTAGGACGAGGATAAACCGTTCCAGAGCGTTCGGGAACGTTTTCAGACCGTCCCGGAACGCTCTGAGAAGGCCGCGGCGCCCGAGACATCCTCCAGAGTCGCCGGACCTCAGAGATTCCTCTCGCTTCGCGGGGTGCACGTCCGGAGCACGTACAGTCCAGTCGTTGTCGGGCCTTTGGGAATTTCTTGGGGCCCCCTTGGAGGCATTTTTGGGGCCTCTTGGGTCCTCGCGGGGGCGTCTGGGAGGCCTCTTGGGGGCCTCTGGGAGGCCTTTTGGGAACCTCTTGGGACCCCGTGTGGGCGTTTTGGAGGCGTTCTTGCATTGTCTGGTCCCTTCGGAGACTGTCTTGGGGTACTCTTGGGCCGTCTTGGGAGCCTCTTGGGGCTCTCTGGGGGCCCTCTTGGGCCGTTTTGGGGCCCTCTTGAGGGCTTCTTGGGCCGTGTGAGGGCCACTTCGGAGGCTGTTCAGCCGTCCTGGACTTCTGAGAGTCGAAATAGGCGGGAACGCTGAAATCTCAAAAAAAACACTGGATCATCTATGGTTTTTGTCTTCTGGAGGTGCTCTTGGGGGTCCTCTGGGGGCCGTTTTGGGGCGTCTTGGGGTCTTTGTAGGGCCTCTTGGGGCCATCTTGGGCCGTGTTGGGGCCATCTTGGGCCGTCTTGGGGCCATCTCGAGCCGTCTTGAGGCCTTGTTGGGCCCCAAGAAGGCCAGAAGGCCCGACTCATTGGTTTTCTCTAGGCTTTGGTAGGTTTTTGAGGCGCAGGAGGGAGGGGCCACTTTAAGTCGGCGGAAGTGGCGTGGCCCCTGGGGGGGGGTTAGGGGGGGTACATAACAAGTGGCACGTGTGCCATGGCTCTTGCACAAAAAGGAAGGGGGAGGAGGAGGAGGAGGAGGAGGAGGAGGAGGAGGAGGAGGAGGAGGAGGAGGAGGAGGAGGAGGAGGAGGAGGAGGAGGGGGGAAGAGGTGGCAAGACATCGCCCCTCGGGGGCCAGCAACGGGGCCCACATCCCAGGTATGGGGAGAAATGGGGGGGGGGGCGGCGTGCGTCGCGACGCGGAATAAAGTGCTCGGAGCGGAGGGGGCACGGGGCGGAGGTCCCACTGGGGCGCTGAGGGGTGGTGGTGTGTGCCGCGACGCGGAATAAACTGTCGGGGCGGAGGGGGCACTGGGCGGGGCTTGGGGCAGAGGGCCACGGGGCGGGGGTCCAACTGGGGCGCTGGGGAAAGGGGGGGAAGGGGGGGAGGTGGCGTGCGTCGCGACGCGGAATAAAATTGTCGGGGCGGAGGGGGCACGGGGCGGAGTCCCCACTGGGGCGCTGGGGGCGCGGGGAGGGAGGTGGGTGAGGTGGTGTGCGGCGCGACGCGGGATGAAGCGTTAGTGGCGGAAGGGGCAGTGGGCGGGGCCCCCGCTGGGGCGCTGGGGACGCGGGGGGGCTCGGGGCAGAGAACCACGGCGCGGGGGTCCCACTCTGGCGCTGGGGACGCGGAGGGGGGGGGTGCGACGTGTAATACAGCGTTCGTGTCGGAGGGGGCAGTGGGCGGGGGCCCCGCTGGGGCGCTGGGGACGCAGTGGGGCTTGGGGCAGAGAGCCACGGCGCAGGGGTCCCACACTGGCGCTGGAGACGCGGGGGAGGGGGGGGAGCTGCGACGCGGGAGAAACCGTTCGTGGCGGAGGGGGCAGTGGGCGGGGCCCCCGCTGGGGCGCTGGGGACGCGGTGGGCTCGGGGCAGAAAGCCACGGCGCGTGGGCCTCACACTGGCGCTGGGGACGCGGGGGGGCGGGGGGGGCGACGCGGGATAAAGCGTTCGTGGCGGAGGGGGCAGTGGGCGGGGCCCCCGCTGGGGCGCTGGGGACGCGGGGGGGCTTGGGGCAGAGAGCCA